TTCAAATTCAATATATGCTAATAGCTTCGGTGTAGCCGAAGCTAGCGTATTTTCGCTTGATGTTATTATTACTGACAGAAATCATCCGTTTCACAAATAGATAAATTTTGTTGTGTTTCAGTAAAGTAAATTCGGTCCAGGTTTTTTCGGATTAACGGATTCGACGAAAACAAAATGTTACAATATAGTAACACTATTCACATTTTCTTTGGTTTTTGTGTTTATGGAAGAAAAACTGTACAATTTATCTTTGCGCGTGTTCAAACAATTTTGAGTCAAACAACCACAATCACAAAACGGGAAGTTTTTTAGTACGAAATCTTATCCTTTGACGCTTGGCTGCATATTTATAGCTTCCACTCCGAATTTATATTCACCGCCTGCACGAATAGCAACCGACAGACTTTACTTTTTTACTTTTATTTCAGAATAATTACTATATATCAAGAGTACACATTTTACGCTTAATTTCATAAACAAGCAAAGTACAAGATAAGGCGGCAATGCTTGAAATCCATTAAACTGCACACAGTGATAAATTTAATAACAGAGAACGTGAAAAGGAACCAGTGCCATAAAATATACATAGATTTAAGCAACGAAGAAAACAAAAAATTAAAACTAAATCACATCTACAAATGCGCAGTTACTTTGACTTAAATTATACAGATTTAATATTTCTAGCCTATTTGAGGCATGTTTAACAGCAGTAATTCCCGGTTATTGAATACGATTTATAAATGCCGTTCCAGGTCAGTGGAGCCACTTTTGCCATGCGTTAGCAACTCATTTACTCAATATTGTCTATTGTGCATAATCAAATTGAATTACACATTTATAAGCCCTTATTGAAGTATACACGCTGTGGTACGCGACCTTTAGTCTTGGACTCTATTTCCGCATACTGATCGGCTTCAAGTAATTTGATTGTGGACGTTTTCAACGAGCTGTAAAGCAGAAAATTCAATAAATAACTAATTTTATTAATTTAAATGCGTAAATGCGAATTGCACATTACCAATTTTGTGGAAAAATTGCGCAAGCCGTGGGAACCATGAACAGCAAGCTGAAAAAATATTTCATATTAGGAGCAATTGAAAAACGGAAGTGTTATTTATGCTCACAAGCAGCCCACCATAGCCGTTTGGAAAGGTGCGTCTATCCAACGGATGCGGCGATAAGCCGGTATTTTCTCCAAACGTTGCATAATAAAAGGCAATATCAACATGCCGGGTGCTGCCATAGTAATACGGGAAACCACCACTTGGGTAATACCCTTTATGGCAGCTAAACGGCTACGTCCCACAATGTTACCATTATCATCCTTCACTTCGACACCGTTGATTATCTCATTTTGCCGCATAAGTGGAATGTTGACGAAATTGGCAGCGGCAACGGCAGCAAACGGCACAAAACGCTGTGACGTATAGAACAAATTTAGACAGCCTCACAAAGGGAATAAAAAAAAAATAGTTTACTACCTGAAATAGGGGGCTGGCACGCTTGGACCAATAGCTTTTGCAACCAAGTGCCGCTACCAATGCCGAGGTAGTTGCTGACACATACGCGACGCCCAACTGTGTGACTGTTGTCGGTGAATTCGCATTACGATTTGTATAGTTGACTATAGCGTTGAATGACTGATTGATGAATTGCCAGAGCACCACGGCGGGAACGGTACGATAAAAGGCTAGCATGCCGCCTGTTATAAGCATGCCACCAGGCACCTAAAAAAAATATTCTGAATGTGATAATAAAGAACAAACAAACATACATACATATATGCAAAATGTTTATGGAAATATAAAAAAAAAGCAATTAATTGATAATGTATGTATGCATGCAAGACATTCCTGTTCTTATCAGCAAATGACCGCGGCAATTAAAGCATAATCACAAACCCCATGTACTTTGTGCCGATGACTAAACCACGATACAATTTTTTTGGCAACCAAACGAAAGTACGTCACATACATAGTATATACTTGCCCAGCTACACGCGCATATAGGGCACGAGAGTAGCGGCAAACGTTTAGCTGTTGGCAGCAAGTCAGCAGACTATTTACAAGCAATAAGATAAAGCACATGCATATGTACATATATACATGCACTTAATTTTATAAATATCCGAGAACAAAAGCCAATAAAAGCGCACTGAATTACTTTAAATTGAGCATATAAAAAAAGTTGGGAAGCAGATGTGAATGTGACTTTGAAATAAATGCAGCACGAGACTAACATACTCTTTGCATTGTTGATACATCAATGATTTAAAATACGATGATAGTAAAAATCTAAATTTTGCATTATCTAATGGCTTAGCTTTCGTTAAATACAGATAATTTAAAAGTATCAGAAACTACAAACCTGAAAACTCATGCGCCCGGTGACGTTCTGAAGCTCGCCTGTATCCGGATGGAAGGCAGATGAATAAAGTTTCATCGCATATTTGACTTGTTCCTGTGTAGAGGTTTCTGGCTCCTTGCCGGCACGATAACTTTCCACCAGCGTTTTTGCTTGCAATAAACGGTCGTTGGAAACAATGACAGTGCGGGGATCCGTCATCCATGCAAAATAGCGAAAGCGCCCGGCAAAAGTGCTCAGATCATATAGGGGCTCGTCTACATTGATGCGTCCTATGTGTGTTTTTAAAGAACAAATATTAATTTGTATCAAAGCAAAAATACGAAGCATAAACTTGTTTATTTACCAAGTGTTAAAGCCATTTTTGCTTATTTTAAATCCCAAAATTGGCACACGGAATATTAATGGAATTGCGTAATCACTTTGTCCTTTTCTATCTGCTGATGCTGACAATCTAATAAGAAACAGTGACTTAATAAATATTGCAGGAAAAATGAGATTGCATATAAAAAACTTTAAAACATAATAGAACAGCAACTGCAATCGAATGCAAACACTTCTGAATTTCAAATCTTCTAACACTTTTTTCTATCAGATATTTCGCGTGTAATTTGGCAGCCGGCCAAGTGTGTATTAAATGCATACACATTTTGGCAAATATGATTTATATAATATTTACAAAGAAATCAAGCATTTTTAAATTTTAGGTAATATTTATTACATAGCTATTAATTAGCACCACTAATTAGCATCAACCTTAAAATAGAAATCACTTACGTCGGAGACACTTACAAGAATTATGAATGAATACTATTTACAAGTAGGCAATATGCGCCGATCTTTGTTGTTTACTTTTCAATTTTATTTGTTTATGGCGCAAGTCAGTCGGTAACAGCTGAAATTCAGACGTTTCGAAGTTCGAAAACTCGTAAATCGTACAGCGCTGCCACCTTCTAAATAATATGTAGGAGAATAGTCAGAATTAAGATTATCTAATAAATTCCCAAAGAGAAATTTTTTTGAAGAGGGTAAATTAAACGATCCGAAGATTCCACAGCCGAAAAAGGGCAACGTGGCTTAGCAACTAATGGAATGAAAGCCGAATTACAATCACGGTGTTTCAATAAATTTCAAATGGAATTAGATGAAGAAACAGGGAAGATAAGAGAAAAGGAAGAGGCACAATTTTCATCCTAGGCTATGGCCACGAGCTTGATTTTGGCTACATTTTCGCAGATGTCAATGCAAATAAAGACACGAAGAAGGGCGCAGGATGCCCGTATATTAATACAGTTTAAATAGTGCATCAACGAAAATGGGAGAGGAGCTTAAGCGCATGAAGTACGTTTATCAGCAGCTTTCGGACCCCATGGATACGGTTTGTCAAAACACTTTGAAGCGATTAGAGCGTGCATATCAGGGCTGATGTCCTCACAGTTAGAAGAGCAATAAACTAGTATATCACATGAGTCCTCACTGTTGGAAAAGCAGGAAGCGTGTATACCAGTACAATCGGAAGAACAAGAGGTGAGTATATCAGTACCGATCTTCTCGCAATCAGAAGAGCAAAATAAAATTAAGGCTGAAAGGGATGAGCTTTTGCAAGAAGAGTTAGATTTGCAAAATATAACGTATGAAATGGAGTTGACCAAATGCATCATGAGTGAAGAAATTGCTGCAGAAAGCTTAGTCGGAAAAGCGTGTTAGGCTGAGCGGAACAGTTTAAAGTTGGTGTGTTGCCGAAGATGGGCAAAGATCCTTAGCATTTGCGGTTGTTCCGAAGACGAGTACAATTGAGAATTACAACGACCTATAAGAAGTAATGGCAAGTATTTTATTGGGTTGGTTGCACCAATCGGTTACGAAGAGGATTGCCAAATATTTTGAGAGTGTCGTAGCCAAAATGTCTTGCACCACGAGAATATGTGTTCAAATGAAATTATGTTCTGACCATGATTGGAACCTCGAGTCAACTGTGTGTCAATGGATGTACCAGAACCTGGGTGTTCGTAAAATGGATATAATTGATGTCTATAAAATTAGGACGGTTCGAGAAGTCAACAGCATCTTAGAAGACAACATGGGAGACTTTTCAAATTATCAATTAGAGATTTGCGCAAACTAGTTTTAACAACGGTTCACATCCCTCAACATTGCTGTATAAATATAGTGGCTTCTGCACATATGTTTTTGACAGTTGATTTTTGTTGCTTCGACTTTTGTTTACAGAACGCTGTTGCCAATTTCTGCATTAATGTTTTTTTACCTAGTTTAATACACTTTTGCTTTCGTCGCATTTTTTCCGTGCATACTGCCGTCTACATGTAATTAAATATAAATTCCTGAATAAAATGAATATATTTAACCACAATTACTAATTGAATGCAAATGAAAATAAAAACAAAAATGTTTCTGACGTGAAATAAAGTAACTCGGGAAGTTACAAAAACTAATTTGTACGCTTGCAAAACTTACGTGTATACAACTTGCCAAACAAGAGTATTTGTTGAAAATTGTATATCAAGCAGGACGAGCTAATGAATCCGTATAACCGGAATTTAAACACCCACATTTGAGTGGTATATCACAGCTATAGTTTCTTTTAATAGAACGAACAAGAGATCAACTTCGCCAATTTGGATATATCGATAATATTATTACGAAAAATTTACAACAGCAGGTTAGTCAAACTTTGGCATTTACCTGTACTGATAGTACTAAGGTCAAACGCAAACCCAATGTACTGCAGCGTCGTTAAGTAAAGCACAATAATTCAATTAATGGCGAAGGTAATCACTACCGTAGCCTTGTTGTCTATGCTCGGTGCGCCGTTGCAATTTGTGTACGGCGTAAATGTGCTGGCGGTGCTGCCAAGCGTTTGGAAGTCGCATTATCTCTTTGGGAAACGCTTGCTGCAGCAATTGGTGGAAATACAGCCCAATTATTCGGTTACATTGATAAGCCCACATGCTGAAGAATACCCAGTACAGCCGAAAATACGCGAAATACGCATTGAGGGCTTGCGGGAGAATTGGGAGGAGATGGGCTTGCCCTTCGATGTGGAACAATCACGGCAACGCTCAATTATGGAACATTTCACACGCTTAATGTATGCCGGTGCGACAAATGTTGATTTATTGCTTGGCGATGCAAAGGTACGAAAATTAGTCCGCAGTGGTGAACAGTTCGATTTGTTGGTGGTTGATCTCTTTCTCAGCGATTCGCTGTTAGGGTGAGCTATTTTTTTCATTGTACATTTGTAAGTTTAATAATATAATTTCAAAAATTTATAGCTTAGCTCATTACTATCAAATACCCACCGTTGTAATTAGCCCCACTGGCGCAAATACTTGGCTTAATCAGATGACCGGAAATCCACAAAGCTCAGCACTCGATCCCAGTATTTTCTTGCCCTACTCGGAACGCATGGGCTTATGGCAGCGCTGCGTAAATACCCTGATGGGTCTTTTCGAAAAGTTGACCTACAAGTGCGTCCTCAACCCATTTTATTCAATTATATATCAAGTTATTATATGTATGGCACAACTTTCAGCTTTTTTTACATGATATCTCAAGAAGCTGTTTACACGAAACACTTTCACACACTATGCCAGCTTGCCAACACCACTCTACCACATCACCGCGATCTAACCAAAAACCTTAGCCTTGTTTTGATAAACTCACATCCTGTTGTGCAATATCCGCGCGCTTACTTACCAAATATGCTGGAGATTGCTGGCGCACACTTGCGTGGCGCACAAAACCAAATCGAACTGCCAACGGTATGAGTATGTATACATATGCGCTTTAATAATTAGTTCTAACAATTTTCTTTGTAGCACATCACTTACTTTATAGAATCTGCACCAAAAGGCACGGTTTACATAAGTCTGGGAGCCGATGCGCGCACTGCAGATTTAGCTCGTGAAAAAGTGGACATTCTCTTGGACGTAATTACAGGCCTTCAAGACTACAATTTCCTAATCAAATGGGAGGATCCAAAATTTTATACATCACTACCGAAGAATGCAATGATTGCTGAATGGTGGCCACAGGAAACCGTTTTAGGTAAGTAATTAATAAAGTAATTGTATGAATTTGGGTAAGTAATTAATAAAATAATTGTATGACTGCATTTAAACTAAATGCTCTACTCTTCTCACGTCATAGCTCATACCAATGTCAAAGTGTTCATTAGCACTTGTGGGCTAATGAGTATTATTGAATCCATAAATGGCCTCACACCAATACTTGCCATACCGATCTTTCCCGAGCAGGAGGTGAGCGCAAGACGTTTACAGCAGCTGGGTATCGGGCAAACGGTCTCCTTCGATGCATTTACCTATGATGCACTCTCAATGAATATAAAGAAGCTGGCTACAGACCGTGGCTATGCGTTGCAAGTAGCTGAAATGCGCCTCCTGCTGAACTCTACATATGGCACTCCAATTGCCAGAAGCATACATTATATTGAGTTGGTTTTAAGTAGCGCTGGCGGCGGCGATTTTCTCAAATCCCACGCCAATGAGTTGAACTTTATGCGCTCCGAATTGGTGGATGTGCTTGCCATAATTTGTTTGGGCCTATTTGTGATTATAGCAGTGCCATTTTTAGTTACGTGTTGTATACTACGACGGTCGTACATAAATCAGACAGCGCAACAAGCTGCGACTGGCGGTGGTCATCGTGCGACCTTGAAAGTGATCGGACGCACAAATTCGACCAGCGGTGTGGCGGCAGTCAACGATTCGCCGATTTTGGACTGGCGTCGGCGGAGCAGTGCAGCGCAGACTACTGGTGTCCTCAAACCGCCATCGTCGCCATCCGCTTCGTCAACCACTTCGAGCATTTCAGCGGTATCAACTGCCTCGTCAGCTGCATCTTCAGTAGGTGGCTCACCACAGACACCCTACGATGTGGGCGGCAGTGGCGAAGGCGTCACGAAGCGTGAGAAATTCGCACGACAAGCGGCCTTGAAATCATCGCAAAAAATCGATTAAAATATCAAACAACGCAATAAGTTCCCGAGTTCCCGCGTTCACGCCCGCATGCATTTACATAGACTTAGTATATTTAAGTGTAAAGTGCTCCGTGCGTTTTATTATATTTTATTTCGCTTTAGTTGGTACTTAACGCAGTATACACATTCGTTGAAAGTCACATATGCTCGTTGTTGCAGTTAAGCAGATTTTTAAGCTCGCCTTTTGGTTTTACGTGGTGTTTGTAAGGCAGATTTTAAAGTGTTTTATGTATAAGGTTCGGTTTATGTATGCATATTTATATATTATTATTGTTACTATTTTCATTTTACCCTGCTTTCAATATCACAAATATACACAATTCTATGTTTAAAATATTTAAATATATACGTACTCGTATTTATTGTTGTTGCATATACAATTAATTTAAGATAATTGAATTCATACTATATATCTTCAAGTTCACAAAGTTTGTGTTAATTTACCCAAAAAATAATCGCCTCAAAACAATCATCACAAATGAGTTTGATGTTAAATAAAAAACGGTAAATTTTAAAAGACTTTACATTCTTATTGTTATTGTAACGAAAAAAATAACACCCCAAGAAATGTTGTTGTTGTAGGTGTTGTCTACAACCTCTTTTGGGGGAAGTGTATGCCAGAAAGTATAAGAATTTGGCCAAGTAATAACGGGTGATCCAAGTAGAGTTGCTCTTTCTTGACAGTTCACGCATGAGTCGTGTCGTGTTATTTTTTTTAGTATTGCTTGGAATCGAATCGGCGTTGTTATGGAACGACTTGGCACATTTTAGTCGAGTTCAAGAATAGAAGCCGCTGGACCTTCCCAAGCGATCTCACTTCGCTCTATGAGCTCTTGAAAAGTTCCAAGTGATAGTTTGAGACTCAAAGAGTTTCTTGTACGATTTTTGCCAAGCAAAACTAATTGAACAACGAGAATATCTATGAAGGTCGTCAAGTCGTCGACAACTTGCCTCACGCGAATCGGTCCAGCCACCTGTTGAAGCAGCAGAGCTTGAAAATCGCCGAGTAGGCATTAGAGAAATAGCAGAGTGTCTCTGCTAAATTCGTACCTAAAAATCTAAATGAACCGCCACTTTCTCGCATAATTGTGACTTCTATTTTCGAAACTGAAAAATTTGCTTCGGTGGAACGCTGCCTTGCCCAATATAAGTATATGAATCGTAAGACAAACTGCTCACGTTGTAGGCAATTAGCCGCTAAACATCCATTAGTTGACACACAGAAATCAAACTTCAAATGAATATAATATAAAAAAGGTTGTATCGAACCAGTTTGCGCGTGCAGTTTAAATGGACCAGAGTATAAATTGGGAAATCAATAAGATAGTATTCTAAAATTTCTACATAAACACAAATTATAGTCCCTTACTTCCAGAATATCCATAATACTTATACTATTGAGCTCAGTTTCCGGCTTTTCGTAGATTTGCGGATGCTATATTTACGTGTTAGAGGTCTACCTGAGCTAGAGCTAGAGCAATTCCTCGAATAGGGGTCCCAACTAAAGAAGGATTCGCAGTTTGATGGTACGCCTTAATAGTAGTTGCGTTCGATACTACCGAGTCTACCTCAATGGTCGCATCATCTCCTTGAACTCTTTGAGAGCCCGAAGTCGTAATAAAAGATTCGCTTTGTCCACTGTCTTCAGTCTGGCTCCCTTCCTCTCAGAACTGCCCCAATAGAGACACTGCCTCATTGTAAAGAGTTGCCGATCGCTCTACTTTTAAGCCAAGATGCATATTGCTGCGCTAGTTCGCAGTCCCATGGACACATGTGTATGCCAATACTTAATTGACTATACAACCGAACAGAACACACACTTACATGCATTAAAGAAGTGCAAAGCGGGTTGAGAGTCATATGATTTGTTGCAAGCTTGCGTAATTTTTCGTTTTCTGATCAGCGGAACCGTCAAACGACTTGTCTTTCATCATCGACACAACAACTGATTGCTAAAGGTTTGTTCCTCATTCTCGTTGCAACCTCATTTTCCAATGCTCCATTCCAAAGCTCTAACCTCCGCTAATAAAGACGTAATTATTCGCCTTTAAGCGGCCGCATCCACCTTTTCCAGGCAGCAGGCGCACAAAGAAGACAAAGGATGTTTCCCCCGTTTTTGAATTTGCTTTGTGAATTGCCTTTGCCTGCAATGAGTGAAGCCAGTCGTATTGCACTTAATTTTCCTCAATACAGCCAAGCGGATGCGCGACATGTTTGCTGCCACATATGGACTCGTATGTGGGTGAATTTGTGATTTGGTTGGTAGAGCTTGCGATTACGTTTACATTGCCTGCTTTTAGGAGCTGGAGTTAATTACGAATCACTGGCAGACAATGTACAAATGAAAATGTTATGAAACACAGTGAACAAATGAAAAATTGTACGTTTAAAAAGAGGGCTTGGGAAAGAAGAAATTAAGTGTGTTTCTGAGCCACATTCAAAATTGGAATTAACGGGGTATTCTGCTTTAGAGCCCCAATTTAAGTATTTTTTTGACGCGATAAAAAAAAATCTAAAATTATTTTGACTATCCAGTTTTTTACATGCTTTTTATTGATATTCTAGGAATACAAAACAAAAAAAACAAAAAAAAAAAAATTTAATGCAAAAAAACTGCAGGTCGCCGAAGTAGAAACTGATGAAACAATGGCTTGCCCTGGTGTGCAGGATATAAACCCTGGTGTGCAGGATATAAATCCTTTCCGAGATCTAAAATGAAAATTTATACGAAAACCGTGAAGAGTAAAAGTGTAGTTATCGCACTCCGAAACGTTTTTGAACAACAAAAAAAAAAAAAAAAAAATGTTTCAAAATGTTGAGTTGAACAAAAAAAAAATGTTTCAAAATGTTTTTTTTTTGTACAAAATGGTGGAGGCTTGAAAACAAGTTTCGTATTTTCCGTGTTTTTTGTGGTTCGGAATTTTTAAAAATAAAAAAAAAATCTTTCGAAAGCTCTTCGTAGTGCGATACTGTAATGTATAAGAAAGCTCTGTGTAAAATTTCAGGTGAATCGGTTCAGTAGAACTTGAGATATCATGCAAACCGTTTCTAGAAAAGTTATGAGAAAAACGAGTTTAAAGCTCCGACCGGGCTGCGAAACGGTTTTGTCGGCACGTCACAAAATGAGCTGTAACTTGGATAATAATTTGAATTTCGAAAAAATAAATTCTTAGGGACATTTTCTTTTCTTTTAATTTTCTTGAGGGGTTATACTATAAAAATATGAAAAAAGTCGATTTTTTCGAATTTGCGTCTAATTTTTAACGAATCACTTTTTTTACCAATAACAAGAAATGTTTCCCCTTTTTATTTCAAAAAATATTTTTAAACTAATGTAGTAACTAATCGAAATATTTGTATACAATTTTAATAATGAGTTGATCCCACCTTTTTGAGGATGTCTCAAATATCCGTTTAGTAGCGTTTCGTAAAATTGTCTGATATAATCTAAGGAAATTGATGACCAAGATTTTAATACCTTCAACTATTTCTCTTTAGTGGAATACTTCTGGCCAGACTCAAAAACTTTGTGAGCAAACCATCCCCCACCTTTTTTAATACAATGATTGTATCGACATTTTGTTCCTTAATTCCAGACTTAAACCCTCGAGCAGAGTGAGGGGATGTTCAAATATACAGACACAAAAAGAAAGTGGGCGAAATGCGAGGGGAGGAAGACTTTGAGAAGCTGGCCGATAGGGGTAATGCTTGAAAATTCTACGACAAGATGCGACAACTAAAGAAGGTTTTAACACCGGAGCGACCTTAAGAGGTGATCTAGTGTCTGATGATCAGATATACTGAATTCATGGAGTGAACACTTCTTCCTGAACCACAATGAAAATGTGTGAAAGATTAAAGCTCACCGTCAACAAACTAATTGGACCTTATCAGTGTGACTTTAGACCTGGAAAATCGACTAACAACCACATTTTCACTATGCGTAAAGTTTTGTAAAATACCCATGAAAAGAAAGTCGATGCACACCACCTCTTCGTCGATTTTAAAGCTGTCTTCGACGTCACTAAAAGGAACTGTCTCCATGCCGCTATGTTTGAATTTCAAGATGGGGGAGGACCTCTCCGAACAGCTAAATTCCAAGCGAGGTTTCAGACAAGTAGACTCCCTATCATGTGACTTCTTCAATCTACTGCTGGAGAAAATAATTCGCGCGCACATTAAGATAATTGTACACTTAGGCAATACATAAAATTTGGTGTCAATACGTATTGAAACTCCGCAGATAAAAGCAATTCAGACTGCATGTGCTAACCTGATGACGAAACAATACAGAAATCTTTATGACAATAAAAAACAGAACAAGCAAAAAAGCATATAAGGGTACATTATTGTAACGTCAAACAGAGGGTCGAAATCAAAGCAATCTTATATCTTCCTTTATATATAAAGGAAAGTTGTGTTAGTTACTCTATATATAACTCAAGAACGGCTGAACCTATTGGCTGCAAATTAGTGCGGAGGTAGCTTAGAAGGGTAAGTACATTATCTCTTTGAGTTAAAATTCAATACAATTCGTAAATAAAAAAAAATATATTTCAAATAATTTGTTCAAAACTCATGAAATATAAAAAAATAATTAATAATAAAAACACATAGCATGCGTACTATATGGGTTATACTGATTGTTGCTCGTGAACCAGACAATGGCATTGACATATTCGTCATCAATCCATTGCGGCTACTTTGCTAGATTATGGACGAAGGACGCAAAAGCATTCACAACAAACCAAACGCGACATCTTCCATAAAAACATAGCGGAGTGTTGATAAAAAGGTCTATTATAATTTGAGATATACAGAAATCATTTCGAAGCATTGCACAGAGCAGTCAAATATTTAAACGGACACGATGAAGTATATGCGTACAACTGATCCCTCCTGAAAAAATAAAATTGCTAAATATTGGGAAAGGTACAAATGAACTGCAACCAAATACGCAGTGCAATGGATTAAAACTGGCAAAGTAATCATTGAATGAATAATATACCACGTGCATCCCAAAAGACTGATGCCATAACCATGCCAGCCGACTATTTT